AGCTTTGAGCTAATTACTTCGAATCTTCTGTAACGCGTAAAATATTCTGTAATTATAAATGACAAGTATCAAGAAAAAAAAAAAGAAACGAGAAGCTCCCTCCAGATGATTCATAATGGAAGCTGCTGCAGCGTTAGCGCTAATAAGCGGTAGCGTAAATAAAGGATGCAAGTAGTAATTAATTGTATGTTCGCTTTTCTAGAGAGAGATGAAAAGAGTTATTAATTAAATCGTGCATACTACCATCTTTTATTATAGAAATCTTACTCTTTTGGATTTGACTTGGTTTACTCTGTTTACTTCATTAGATAAAGAACGTAAAAATTTTTAAATTAATATTTATTGAAATATTTAGATATGTTTATTACTGAAATTATCATTGAAAAAGACTTTTTATTCGAACGGGATATGCCAATTGCTATGCAAGCTTCGTCGAGATAAATATGCTCCTCGGTCTTTAACCCAGATTCGAGTTCCGTGAGATCAATTATACGGCTGCTTTTTATCCCTGATTGGGACATCTTTGTCGCGAAACGCGTTCTCTCTTTTTCAAAAGTCATTCGTTGCAGTACGTGAATTCATCGAAACTACTTAATGACGAACGTGACGTTCGCGGAAGAATTCTTTGTGCCATGCGAAAGCCGCTAGCGGAAAACGGTCGCGACAATGATATGCTGTTGAACAGAGAAAGTAACAATGGTATTCGCGAAATACATCTCTCTTTAGTTAATGAAATTTTATATAAACATTTCTCTTCTATATAAATATCTTTTACCGCATAAATATTTTCGATTAATAATTTCTTGGGAGCATTTTTGGGGGAAAAAATTTGCCTACATTTCAACTATCTTTTAAGATTATCATTTTCAGTTTTATATTCTACGATATGATATATTTTTGTACGCGAGCGATAAATCTCTCTTCGTTCATTTCCGAGAAATTACGTCGTTAATGCGAAACGCGAGTGTTGCACGAGGCACAACAGCCTCCGCCTTACATCCCTGCCGCCTTCTCCCTTCATCCATCCTCGCCTCTCCATCGTGCACTCCCCCATTCCCTTCTACATCGCCCCGAAGGGCCGATCTTCTCGTCTTTTTCCCCTTCGGGCCCCGCTCGTTCGGTTTGCTCGCTTTGTACAGCGTCACGGCTACTTTTGTTGCTCCTCGCGCTGCTTCTTCTTTTTCTCTTGCTGCGTCCCCTCTCCCCTTTTTCCCTCCCACCGATTCCTCGCTTCTCTCTTTATCCCTCCGGCTACGCTTCTCCTCGTCCCGAGATTCGTTCCTTTTTTCCTCCCTCTCCCTCGTTCTTCCCCGCTTCAAGTTAGTCCAGTTGCTTCTTTTGTTTTCGTCGAGTGAACGAGATGCCGAGAACGACGAAGAGCGGGTATGAGAGAAAGATGGAGGGAGAGGGAGAGAGAAAGAATAAGAGAAATTACGAGCGAAAGGAGAAGATGTTGCGCATCGACGAGGAGAAGACTCGAAAGAGAGAGAGAAGAGAAGCACACTTAAACGAAGCGTGTCCCGACACGCGAGATACGAGGATCGAATTCGACCATCGGATCCGGATCCACGAAACTCTCGATCTTTCTTGGATCATTCTCGTCTCGAGGCTTATTCTCTTTCTCTCTCCCTCACCCGTCACTGTTATTGACGCTTTTTTTCCTTGTATCGATTCAACGTTGACGGATAAAAGTACTGCTCCTAAAATCAGCTTTGCTTCTGAAACACGTCGCTCTGACGCTCTTATATTCGAAAAGATGTTTATGATTATCAGATACGAGAAGGGGGAAGGTTTCATGTGAAACGAGGCGTGATTCAACGCGCGAAACGCTCGAGGAAGTTATTTTACTTTCTTGTACCGCAAGTAGTGTTGCCATACGTCCTCTTTTTTAGGACGTCCGGGGACATCCGGGGGGATTTTTCGAATGTGTCCGGGGTAATTATGAATGTCCGAGGTTTAAGGATATTCATAAATATTTCGCTTTTTAGATTTAAGCGGCGTCTACAATAAGATTTTAAGCCCTAAGCCTTAAGAAATTGACTAATCACAGTCGAGTATTCTTCTCATACTTGATTGTGATTGGTCAATTTCTTAAGGCTTAAAATTTCTATTGTAAACGCCGCTTTAATTAACCTCATCGTGTTCAATCACTTCAATACAATTGAAGTTATCAACCATCCGTTTTCTTATTTTTATGCGTGAGATGTGAGATTGAGATCTATACTATAGGTACAATAAGGTAAATAGGTACCTAATAATAAAACTTTTTTTAAATTAAAAACATGTTTAATTTATTCATTTTACTCTAAGTACTAATGAAAACGAGAACATATTCGCATTTTTGTTATACGTTCGAGGTTGCAAGCGAAATGTCCGGGGTCTTTGGGTCATAAATTCTAGTTTTGAAAATTTTATTATAGCAACCCTAACCGTAAGAGAGAAGCCTCTGTCTCGCTATCTATACTCGAGAAAGGCCTCGATGGAGTGTCGCTTATGTTACTAGCTTTGTATCTAACGACATTCGATATGAGCGTAAGTGAGCTCAACCGAGCGCACTCTCCCTAAACATACACTTATTCTCACAAAGTTCGAATATATAGCAACACGTGAAGCAAGATTTGATGAGGCTGTATCGGGGAACTTGTAGAAACACGACGGAGGCGGGGAACAAGAAGGAAGGAAGAGCGATCTCCGACGAACGGCCACTTATCCCATGAATACGTCTCGTAGCTTTCCGTAGAATAGCGCGGTCAAGTGTGCGCGGACATACACTCGTAATTCTGCGAGGATCATTAATGTCATCGGTGCCGGCGTGTAATACCAAAGCCAGTCGAGAGGGATAGAGACGGAAAGAGAGAGAGAGGAAGAGACGCGGTAACGAAGCAGTAATAAACGGTAGTCTCGTCGATAGAAACCTCGACGGTGCGCTCGCTGATTGCGTATAAGGGTGGAGTGATGTTCTTTCCGCATCCAGATACGCGTAGAAAACGAAGAGAAACATACGCAAAAGACTGGTTCTCTGTAGAGCCCAGAGAAGTCACAAAGGGATTTTTAATTGTTACATAAAACGTATAAATAATAATACGCGATAAGATTCTCGATTAAATTTTAGTTACAAGTTATCTGCAAAATTAGGATTATAAATGAATAAGATCTATCCAGAGATGTAAAACACGCGTGCCTGTTTTCGAAATGCTGCCGTGTATGCATCTCGTTTATTTTTACAGTTCAGACGCATAAATACTATTGTATTATTTGCAAGCGTATCTATATATACTCGTTTCTGTGTGCAACGATACGAACCAAGACCGGTCATTTCGCCGTCTTGAGAATAGTAAAAGCGAGCATTACGTTCGAATACATGGTAATTTACAGCTGGTGCGTACGAGACGCGGGTAGTTCGTAAACAGCAGGTTTCTTTGTGCTGCGTACTCTCGTCTTAAGCATTTCTCCTCTCGCTGCCTCTGCTTTTACACCTTTTCTCAATTTTTACACAATCAGCGAGGACCTTTTCTTTCCTATTCCCGCTCCACCTTCTTCAGTGTTTTCTCTTTAAATCCATATAATCCCGTATAACAATATTTAATATTTCCTAAAATTAATTTTATAAAGAAAAATTAAATTTCTATAAAATTAAATATAGTTTTAATATCTTTTTATATATAGTATCTTGTGGTGTTCTTTTTATATATTACTTTTTTTTTATTTTATTTCTATTTTAATTAACAATAAGATTTTCGCGTTTCTCTTTTGTAAAAGGAACTTCTTCTCTGTTAACTTTCTCGTGCGTCTGTACCGAAGAAAAGTGGACCGCGTAGCTCAGAAGTCATCACGCGCGATCATCCTCGACACACATGCGTGCGTGTCGCGGGTACGCACAGCGTCTCAGTCGTTATTATTATTCCAACAGTAATCCGCTTCGAATCCCGACCTAAACCATTGATTTGCTCTTGTTGCGCTACTGTATCCATTTGTGTCTCTCATTCTTCATCTCTTGTTCCCTCTCAACTTATCTTGGCGAGTCCATTATGTGCCATGTGATTTTTTCTCGCTTTACTCGCTCAAGTTCTGATTTTATCTATCTATGGAATCATCTTAAATATCTTTTTCAATTTTTTGCAAATTACATTATTGGACAGTAATATCCAATACATTGGATATAATATGGAAAAAAAAAGCATTAATGCATGCTTTTAACGCGCGATATAGAAGTTACTCTCATCATGATTTACTTCGCCCGTGACCGAAACGAATCCTAAAAGGTCGCGATCTTTCCCGACACATGTATCGGAACCTCCTGTTGCATAATCATCATCTATGAATAGTTTCGGAATAGATTTGAGCATATATGGATGCGATAAAATCGTGCCCGATAAATTGACAAGCAGACTAAAAACTTAACATATTACCTGTTAGAGAAAATTTGATTACACAAGGGAACCATTAACTATCCATTAAATTTTCGTGACTTTAAACTTTACTGGGATTAAGTAATTATTTTAAAATAAAGATTAAAGTTAGATTAGAAATAAAAGAAAATAATTTTCTAATATCGGCAGAGAAGATTAACGTAATTTAAGCTAAAAGATGTTAATTTTTTCAAGAAAATTGCAAATCTTTTTATGCATCATCTTATTCTCCCTGATCGACTTTAAGCAACGGTGACCATCATGCTCGTACCCTTTCGTTAAGTCTCAGTGATGGCTTATCAGTTCGTATCTTGTACAAACACGTTTCACCTGGTCTCGGACAGTCACGGCCCACGCCATTTTCTACCGGCGCTGCCCACGTTTTGTTTCGTAACAACGTTTCATGAGACCACTTTATCTCTTATGCTTCGTCTTTCATCTCTTGCCCCCCTCCGCCGATAGATTGGCCCGATGCTTCCGTACGCTGGTAACCAGGAGCCGATACCGGTGTAATTTCGGCGAGGGCAACTTTTTACGCGATACATGAAAAGAAAAAGAACTGGAGATATAAGCCTCACTTCTGCCGTTATATTTATACCAAGCAATTTATCTTGCTATATTATAATCCACAGACATTCACAGAACATTAAGACACAAAACATTGTATCAATCTTTTCACAAAATACTAAAAACTATAAATAGCCTATTTCTTTTTATTTTATATTTCTTTTCATGGAACATCGATCTCATTGAGCGAATTGTACGAAGAGTATCGCTTTAGGCAGGAAAATACTTGCTGATTACAATATTTCTTTTTTCAATAAGACTATTTTTTGTTGCTCTTATTAAGATTTCAAATCGCGCAGGAAAAAAACGAACATGTGTGATTTTCAACGCAGCGATATTTTTTATTTCAATTATTATATGTATCCATCACATGGAGTAATTGATATAGTGTTCTTAACTGATTATCTCATTCAATCTTTTCGATATATTCGATTCGCATAAAATCTATCGAGCTTTTGAAATTCACATAAGAAGATGCCAGGAAAGAGATCTTTTTAAATTAAGCTTTACATTCTTTCTTCGTTTTGAATATATTTTAACCAGTTAATCGCAATAAAGTATGCATAATGAGATTATATATACGATACATAAAAATCATTATTTGTACGATATATATGAAATAATTGTAACAATAATTTTATCAGTGTTCCAAATAAATTTTTTACGTGCTAAACGTGGCATTTTAGCCACTTTCGCAACAACCAAGACCGCGTGCGTTAATCCTTTCGCTGCAGCAGACTCCTAAAGATTGTCTTCCATGAAGCGTCCCCGAGGTAAGACGATCCGGGTTACTTTGTATGTGGAATTTCGCGCGTAGACCGGGCCGGCCGCGTCCGTAATCCGGACTTACGGGCCCGCGAGATGCCTGGACGTGCTTTAATATGATTTAAACTCACCGCCGTACCGGCTACCGTATTACGATTGCGTCCCTCCGACTTCTCTCGTCGGCGCTTTCTCTGTCGTGGGGCCATCCGCAGGCGGCACCAGTCCTTGAGAGGCCGCGGGAATAGGGGAGGATGAGAGAGAGGGAGAGAGAGAGAGAGAAAGAAACAGAGAGAAGAGAGGGAGATACCTACACGCGTGCGTACATACGCAAGAAAGTGGCGTAAAATGCGCAGGCGAGGCACGAGTTTTTGCCGGCACTGGCCGGCCGATCGTCTTTGAATTTTAAGCGTTATCCGCTCCCCGAGAAACCGACGAGAGCACCATTGAAACTGCAACGCGAGAGTTAGGCTGCAATTAAATATTAAAATTGTATTATTTATACAGATTAAAATAAAATCCTTTTACACTAAAAAGATCCATTGACGAAAATATTAATAAACTAAATAGAAATCTAATATATCTAATTGTAAGTAAGAAATCTTTGACGCTATTAAATATAAAAAATCTATATATTTATATTTTTTTGAATGAAGATATTTAATAGAGAAACACAATAGATATTTCCTGACTTTTACTGAAAAATTAAATTACAATTTCATTTATTATTCACTTTTAACCGATAAAACATTAGACCTTCTCAAAAACTTATCGGAGCAAAATAAAAAAAATTTAACATTATGTTGTGCGTCGGCGTTTCGTTCGAAACGAGACGAGAGGAAGCTTCGCAATTGCTATGACAGTCGGCATTGTTCACCTCGTTTCTGGTCCTTCGTTCTCCGCTCATTGTCCACTCCCTCCCTATGTTCTCCTGATCGCTTTGACGAAGCCGCCTCGGTGTAAGAAAACCGGCACGGGGCAACGTACACATCAGGTACCTCACTGCGAAAGCCCGCAAAAGTGACAAGGCCCTGGCAATTATAACGGATGGCGCAAAAAAATGGCGCCGTGGTACGGAAGGTCGGTTGGGCGACCGGCCGAGTCGGCTACCGTTTCTCTCCCCCTTTCGCCAGCAACCTTTAAGCGTGTATATCAGGCAGCCCTCTGATGATTAATCGCGGGTATCACGGCAAATCTCGACCGTCGTCAGCTCTCTCCAAATCGCTCGAGTTTGTTCGGCGGCAGTACTTGATATGAAACTGTTATATATATCATTGTTAATAAATAATGTGTATCAAGTACATATATTTGATGAAAATACAAGTCAAAATAGGGGGATGGCTAACAAGTTTAATATTAAAATATCAGTTTAATATAATTTATTTTAACACAAAAAAATAATTCTCATTTTTTTCTGTAATAAATAAAGACTCGTTCCAGCACAAGATAACAAATATTTCGTGAGATAAATTGAATTCTGAACGCGAATATGATTAATTTAGATTTTTCGAAGAGAATTTTCGCTACCCGTATCCATGAGTATGCCGGAGATGTAATCATAAATTAAAAAAATCAGCTCGTACGTTTATCGTAAAATCATGAACACGAATCAATTATACGCGGTAAAATTACCTGAAATTCAAGCCTATAATCACTGCAAGCACAGCACTGGTCAGTTGTAAAGTCTCTAATTACAAAATTGCCAATTAATCGTTCATCGACTTATGCCGATCAACTTGATCTTCGGCTTCCGTGAAATTTTGAAGATGTTCTCGGACATAAGAATGTTAAGATACCTATATAAAAGAAAAAGAAAAGTTAAAAATAAAAACATTTAATAAAAGTTAAATATTTTAAAAAATTACAATAAAAGAAGAGAGAGAGAGAGAGAGAACGATTTTTACCAAACTATTTTTAATATAACAAGATAAAATATTACATAATTAAATCTTTTATACTTATATATTATTTCATACACAAAAATTATAAGAATAAATTGCGCCGTTTTGAGTAGTATATGCCATCTAGTGATACTAAAGATGATTAAGAGTACAGAAACTCGCTAGATAACTTTCTCACATTGTGTGTGTTTTGGAACATATTTTCTAATTTATACGACGAAATCTTATTAAAGCCTCTTTAATTGCAAAAATACTAATGATCGCAATTTAATAATTAAGATTTTTGTGGGTTATAAAATTTATATCCGTGTCTCTTTACATTAAATTATATATATAATGAAAACTATATGTATTTACCTCTGTATCTTTAAAAGCGCTGTAAATATCCGTTGCTATCATATTATTTGACTGATTGCACAAGAAAAGCATTCACAAATGCAAACAGTATTGGAAAGGTGAAAAGGAATGCGACCTGTCTGAATGTTGTCAAACAGAGAAAAAGAAAAAGAGAGGTTAGAGGCTTCAACTTTTACACAACAAAGACAACACTATGTCAAAAGCAACTTTTTCCTTTTCAGTTGAATAAATCTATTCCTTTGTAAATAATTTTGTAAAAGTAATTAATTATATTAATTTTTATTGTTCTAAAATTGTGTTAATCGTTGTCGTGTAAATCAAAATTGATCTTTATACAAGTGTATACTTGACCAATTGCGTACAATATGGCTGAGTAGTGATGATCGTTTTCGCGCCTTTTTGCGACCAAGAGGCTCTATGAATGTCAAACGATCTACCTTTTTGTATATATTTACATACAAATTTTTTAAGAATATCGCTGATTGATTAATATGCAATATCTGTACAAGATAGCAGCATGTCTTATAATGATTCAATAGAACAGCGGAGAAAACGGTCCAAATTAACGAAGGAAATGGCTATTGCAGATATTGCGTCTTCTATTGGTAAGAAAGATTTATTGAAAGTGTAAACATTTCCTTACGTGGCTTCTATGACAGTTTGATGTAGAAAGAAAGAATAATGAGAATAAAATAGAGGCACTGGATGAAGATGAGTTGTAGAGAAAAAACTAGTTCTTAGAAAACGTTTTATAGATTATTAAAAGTTTTTTTTTTGTGAAAACTTGAGACTACGACATGTTTCAATATGTAATGTTAAATGTTAAAATGTAATTTTTTTTTCTTTAGATTACATAGCCAAATCTGTTGAATCTATGAGTGCGAGTTACAGCGAGATGTTAAGGATTAACAAGAACGTTGTCACATATCTGCAAAAGGTTGAAAAACATGAGAAAGGAATGAACCAGATTGTAGCGGATATAGAACATACATCCACTAAAGAAAAATAATAACTGGTATAACGGTTGTATTTATCTCATATTGTTTGCATTTGATACACTCTCTCACTGCAGTTTATGGTATGTCATCACTCTGAAAACCTAAATCTACAGTTAACAAGAAGAGTACATATATAGTTTTTGCTTTGACATAATTCAAAACAGCAGTGAGAAGCCTTAAACTAAAAATTTCATGTTATAATGACTTAGATATAAGTATTTATTAACAAATATATATGTAAGCGAAAGTCTTGTGTGATATCATAAATTTATTGTCATGTGTATATCATGTGCAATAAGTAGAGTAAATAATAGTTATTTCTTACTTTGTCATTATAACAATAAATACAAAAACAATAATTTTATGATATAAATAATATTGAAGATTATATTTTTATGAATAATTCTTTTCTTATTATATCACAATGTTCCTTGATCTTTATCCAACAGTAAATACATAATAGCTTAATACCTTGGAACTAGGAAAGCCTGTGTCACTCTACCATAGTTTGGAAATATAATCACAAAATGTAATATTTCTTATACTATTAGATCGCAGACCTGGCAATATCTATTATCATACTATTTTATGCATTGCGAACGCACCAATACTGAATGTTTATAGATTCTGCAATATACTTTTTATTGTGATGAAACTGCGACAATCTAATGAATGGACGAATAAAATAATCTATTCTTTCAGTTCCGAGGCATTGTATTAATGACAAGTCTTGTATGTGTAACAAAGAGACTAACAAAGTGACTGTGGATACGTCTTAGCAGTCTTGTAATCCGTACGTCTGTCCCAATTCTTTGTCACTTGTATTCTGGATCCTCCTTGTGCTTTCTTCTGGGATCCAATGGGTCCAACGGGATTATCTCAGGCGGCACATTTTCGGGCCGACGGTTAGAGAAATTGTAATTTGAACCTTTCGTGGATAATCTGTTTACTGGTCTAGACAACATTATCGGTCCACATCTGGAACATATTTACGGTTACGTTGCGAATAATTGCAATGATGAATACTATAATTTTGTCGTGCGTGAACCGAGAGGATAGTGTAAGTTACCGTTCACATATATTTAATCTCAGTTTTTTAATTTCCTGTCATTTTGCATCATTATTTTTTAAGGATTTCTTTAAAGTGGCAGTCATTGTTAGTAAAGTACAAAACATTCCACCTTTAATGTTATGTGTTAGTTAAGTATATATATCATGAGATATAACATTATTTTAGTAATTAGGCGAAGAAGAAACGTTAAATAGCATAGAGAGAGAGAGAGAGAGAGAAATCGAAAGTAATTTAATTCGCGAGCGAACACTCCGTGCAAGGAAAGTACAAACATAGAGTGCATGACATAGATTCATGGATAGGGTACAAGGTCTCATACAATGAGATTTGCAAAAATTTTGTGCAGAATCAAATGGATGGCCGAAATACGTCAAGAATACTTCGGTGAATAGATCGGTGCGTTCGCGCATGGCTTACAAGTCATGACAGAATAGTAGAGTGCAGTGAAAAGGGGAAGACGCCTTATTCCTCTAGAAGATCCCTCTATTCTGTCCGTTCACACCTGCACGTGTTGTAATTGAAGTAATATCCGGTGCTGCATGGCTCGATAGTTCTGCACGAGCAAATGCAAAGATCCGGGTTCCAGATCTTTGTGTCGTTGGTCTTACGGCACTTCTCCGCCTCGTCGACGTTGTCGCAGACGCATTTGCAATTGTGCGGCTCGTAATGCTGTTTTTCGTTGCAATGCTACGGTAAAAAGCGATGTAGTATGAATCATCAACGAAAAGAATGTCAACACTTTGCGCGCGCGCTTAAATACGATTAAATTTTGCTTGTCCAACGCATTGACACACTTCACGAGCGTCTGCACGTTGTAAGGAAGCGTCAATTGTAGTAATACGTAATCAACGAAATTGAGAAATTGTCGAAGCTTATTTTGGTTTAAATATTGCACTGTACATTACGCGTGTCATAAATGCCTCAAAGTATAATATTAATTTGTTAGAAACATATACATTTTTTAAAACTGAAATTTTTTATAACTTGTAATGAAAACTTGAATCTTGCATTTGAAGGACAAACGAGATGAAGATGCATGTATAGAAAATGATTCACGCTTTCGGATCGCCTATTACTGCTGTTTTTAATGTATTTTCATGCATTGTTGGAAAACTTGAAAACACGAGAGGAGTTCGTGCTCTTTTCAGACGACTAGATGACGTAAATCGCTCTCACGTACATATGTCACGTGAAAAACAATACAATGAGATACGATGTGTGAGGTGCGAAACTCGCAAACCGTGCGGCCCGGTTAAGCAGGAAGGCACCGATTATCCGCCAATTATCGGTTGTCATCAAATTACCTCCTCTTTGATTCTGCAGTCACACTTGCATTTAGTGTGCTCCTCCAACGGCACAATTCGCCGACCAGCGTAATTCAGTCCATCCAGCGACGCCACGACCACCTGAAGACAACAGAGACAAACAAATAAAAAATGTTCAACTATTATTGCTTTCTCTCGAGTTGTCTGCTTATAATAATAGGCGCGTTCTCTTTCGTATTCTTAAACTCGATGACGATCGATTACCTCGAAGTTTCGGATCTCCATGGCTGTTGGCTGGCACGAGAGCAAGGAGCTACCGCAACAACCGCCGCATCTTTTGATCCGTGTGCAGGGCGGATAGATAATCGTCGAAGGATCGTCGTCCAGTTTTAGAGAAACGGGTTGCAACTCGGGCATACACTTGGCCGGTGTCGCTCTCGCTGCGTTCGATCGTTCCTCGCCAAATCTACCTGAAATTTCCGTTTGTATTCTATCAAATCCAGCTGAAAAAAATTTCAATCTTAGGGATGTTAGAGATATTAATTTTCAAGTAGGTAGCGTTAGATTTTTTCTTTTTTTGTGTGTATGTAAACATTTCGTGTTATTATGAAACTTGGGATAATATCAACAAAACAGTATCTAGTCTAACTCCATGGCTGTTGGCTGGCACGAGAGCAAGGAGCTACCGCAACAACCGCCGCATCTTTTGATCCGTGTGCAGGGCGGATAGATAATCGTCGAAGGATCGTCGTCCAGTTTTAGAGAAACGGGTTGCAACTCGGGCATACACTTGGCCGGTGTCGCTCTCGCTGCGTTCGATCGTTCCTCGCCAAATCTACCTGAAATTTCCGTTTGTATTCTATCAAATCCAGCTGAAAAAAAATTTCAATCTTAGGGATGTTAGAGATATTAATTTTCAAATAGGTAGCGTTAGATTTTTTCTTTTTTTGTATGTATGTAAACATTTCGTGTTATTATGAAACTTGGGATAATATCAACAAAACAGTATCTAGTCTAACAACATAAGTATAATAAATAACGTCTGAAATAAACGCTAAAATAAACAGTTCGTTGAACGATATAAGTAAAATTAGGCGATATTAAGTTTTTTGTAGGTACTCGCGTTATCTTTTTCGAGCGCAAAGATGACCAACGAATGTGCGCGAGCGATTTCAGTTGCAAATCATTATTTCATGTTGGCTGATAGAATGATTCCCGGTTTAGAGAATCATCTTTCAAAAAATGTGGTGCTTGAATGGTTTGGAAAAAAGATCACAGGGAAAAAAGATGTAGCTGCTTTTATTATGTCCCATAAAACAGAATTCTTTCATACGTTTGACGACATTATACCAATTTTGGGTATCACCACTAAGGAGAAACAATCGAATCGGTGAGAATATTAAAATGATAAATTGCGCATTCTCATAGCTTTTTCCAAAAACTAATATATTTAGGATATTCAACCTACATAAAAGTTATATTTAGCTTTATTTAATTTATTTAAAAACCTAACACTTTTTATATTAGATAAAGACGATTTGACTTTTCGCGTAGGTCGAAAGAATCTTTAGATCAAAATGCTAGCGATAAGTGTGAAACCCACACAAGCTATTGTTCTCATAAAGAACTAACTCGCTGTTCACACGAGACTGAAATGTCAACGAACCATGAAAACGCAATAGATTCTAATCAGGAAAATAATGAAAACGACACAACTTTCGTACATAAGGATGGCTGTGCCACTTGTAATATTGAAGAGCTTACGTACAAATCGGAAATAATGACAGCTTGTAATGATGTGAATGTCAATGTCAATGTGAATACAAATATTGAAGCGAATCAAAATGAAATTACAATCGCTAACATAGATGATCAGAGTGATAATCTTAACAAGAACGATCTCTGTAATCTTTTCGAACCCGAGATTACCTCTCAGGCTATCGTCGAGAACATTAATAGGACAGAATTGAAAGAGGAAATGGCACCAACCATCAGAGCTATCAACAGAGAGTGTGGTCAAGGAGATGGACCTGTTATTGTTGAAGCTGATACGACTAAGTACCTGGAGGCAAATGGAACAATAAAATTTTTACGCATAAATATACAAGAAGGTAATATAGATATACGAAATATATAAAGGTAGGATAGATATAAATATTCGAAACGGTAGCATTAGAAATCAATTAAAAAAACAATTTTGAAGGTAATGTTTTATTATATTAAAAAATCAATTATAAGACAATAATAATTATATGAGAACTGATTAAAGCATTTTAATTTTTTAAAATTAAATTATTTAAAATTAAAACATTTTTAACAAAAGAGATCTATATTTATAAGATATTATAAATTAAATTATAAAAAGATAAATTATATGTAGATTCACCAAAATTATTTTTGGATAGATAATGTTTTATCAAGTAAATATTAGATAGATATTGATTAAAGCAAATTTATATGATTAAAACACACTAAACTCTCTCTCTCTCTATATATATTTAAAATAAAATATTATATTAATTAAATTTCAGATTCTCTATTTTTATATCATTGGACAAAAATCTGGAAAAGGAAGAATTGGAATCAAAAATGCAGATTACAGATTGCCTATTCGCTTTTAATCGATAACGAATCTCCAAAAATTGTCAACAAATGCATGCAGGAAAATGTTCATTCCGCTAGTCATTTAAATAAAATACAAAAAAGTAAATTGCCAAGTTTAGAAGAGGTAATCCGAGATAGCAGTACATTAATACGGGACAAAAACTGTTTTAACGGTTATTTGCAACCCTTAAATTTCTCAAAGGATCGCGAGGAGTTTCTGAAATTTTTCAAAGCCGAGATGCAAGAGAAATTCAACGCACAATCTTGCGCGCGTTACGTGAGAAATAAATTGATTTTGGACTATCCAAATAAAAAACCACTTCTTAATGTTATGTATCAAATTCACATGATCGTTTATACAAAAGTTGAATAAAATGAATCTGTTAAGCAAGAAATAGCGGATGCAGAATAAACCTCGTGTACAAGTTTGCGCGATTGAATGGCGTTTGTATCTGTAACTGTAGTATTATGAAACGAATTAATCGATCGGACACGCTTCGGCGAATTTGTATTCATTACAATAGAAAACTATATCCTGCGTTAATCGAAAAAATCGTTTAACTCTTACAAAATTCCTAAAAAATATTTTAGACTCGTAAGAGCTTGTAACATACATTTTTCAAAGGCTTATAGCATTGCATCGAAAGTATAAGCACGCATACGATCCACGTGAATTTACAGGATGATCTCAGTATACATTTGATAACTGCGCGTTGTGTAAACAGTAGAACAATTATAAGACATACCGCCGTAACTTAATTTGTATTTCTGCTTATTGTTAGATGGAAAATATTGATTTTATCACGATCGCAGTGTGACTTTATTTGCATCTCGATAAACGATTATTTTTTTATAATGGTTACATTAAATTGCGCATGTGACTACGCGATATTGTGAAACATACATAATTGATGATATCAATATATTTTCGAAATACATTACATGATTGCATGGCAATATATTTTTTAATTTTTGTAACAATAATAAGTTGTGACAATAGATTTTAATATTTATGCTCTTTTATTCAATAAAATATAATTTGCAATAAGTAGATCCCAATTTGTTTCACATTTTTACGATACGAGCAATTTTTCAAAATTATTATATATCATTGATACGTAATGAAGTGATATCGGGTGAATTGAACTTACTGCTTAATGTAGAATCCATTTCATTCTTTGGAACACCTTGAAGAAGCTGCAAAAACTCATCCGACGATTCTATGGAATTTAATTTAATGGCTAAATCGAGTGGTATCTGAAAATAAGATTTTTTTACAAGATAAGTTAGGCCCGCACATATACATGTGTTGTATATAAATGTAGTTATTCTCTATAATATCTTAGTCAGCAATAATCTAATCAAAATCCGATAACGATGAAAGAATCATAAGCTTGATTGCTGATATATGACTAACGACAAAAATTTATGGTCTTCTAGTATTTATTTTAAGATCAAAGATAAGAATTATTAGAAGTTATTTTATATATTAATTTGTAATCGACGAGTTTTCTGTATTACCTATCCTAGAAAATTTAATGTTCAGTATTACTACATTACATCAAAAATAATTGTTTATATATATTTATCAAATTTTTTAAAACATGATGATTATTAGTTCCTTTATTAATCCACAGCTAGCATTAGTGCATTTTTCCTGCATTAGCTATCCTGGAAAATTTAATTGCGTAAGAAAAGATAAATTTAAAATGAAAATTTCTCAAGTTTATATCGATTCTGTGCGTGCGACATGATAAATGTTTAAGATCAGAAAGAAACAGAGAGATGATAAATTTTAATGGATCATATGCGTGCTAAAATAATCCATTATTCCTTTGAAATCTCATAAATATTAATTTAAAGATAAACATAAAATTAAATCCTTCGATCGGGATATTCCCGCAAATTGTGAATCATTCTGTTCAATTGCGGATACTTGTGTGACTAAGGAGAAAATCATCTTGGCTAAATACCGGTCAATGATCCATATATTAAAAGTCCTGCTTTTGTGAAAGAAATCGATTTGTTCTCTTTAATTATTTTTATACTGCATTTAAATTGAAGTAAATTTCAGTATATGTGCTTTTGTTACTTTGAAAGGAATTGTATAGAATAATCTTAAATTTTTTATAATAAATTATAATGAAGAATGGATATTGTGTAAAAGTAGAAAAAATGAAATTTTGTAGTACGTGTTGCATATTTTACACAAGAAATTTTATTACTATATAGCTTAACTTTATCAAATAGTTCTTTAGTTCCAATTACTCTAAAAAAGTTACTGGATTTTCGACGTTTATATTAAATCGATATACTCCACATTGATAAATATCTATAGATGAAAGATAGCAGAGTTAGTTTGGGACATTGCATAGTTATGTTATTAGTCATTGATAGCCACTGCTTTGAATGGGTGCGAAATCTTAGCTTCGATATCATGTGATTCAAACAGGTTCTCAAACAGGTCGGATAGCTGTTATACCATATAGCGAAAAAAAGTAACGTAGCTGTCTAATAAATGGCTAAAAAAAGTTAAGCATATTCGCATGTCTTATATTAATCTATTATTAACAACAAATACCTCACGCATTAAAAAAAATTGTGTACTGATTTCAAAAAGACAGAGCTTAATTCAAACATGAAATATATAACTGTCGATTGGCTAGAATTTAAATTTAGAAAAAGGTCAACTGCAAATATATTAAAGAATGCGGTTCAAAATTTAATGCAAATCTTATAAAACATTATCTGTAGGAAATAATTTACTATCTGTGTTTTCATGCGTTATATAATAATGAAAATACTATATCGCTCCTTTTTAATTTCGAAACAAATATTTCTTCAAGTAACACGACACAACGCAGCCTTATAAGATTTGAAAGCAACAGATTGCGCGCGTTCTACGATTTACATAATCGAGAAATATTTCGCGTGTCGGTGGCATTATACTTTCTAGGAATGATAATCCTTTTGATGCAAGAAATCGCGAGAAATTTTGCATCCGTTCTCTGAGTGTCTGTCGGCTTTCGAACATATTTCACATGAGATACTGAACTCAGGTATCGATAACCTTGAAATGAAATCTCAAATGAGCGACTTTACGATAAGGACCACGAACAGTCTCTCCTTTCCTCTTGGGATAGTGCTGGTTGCGACCTTGCCAGGAAGCAAGGCCTTACATTTAACGCTTAGGCGCCGTTATGTTTTATTGAGCATTCTCGATTTCACTACTGACTCAGCCGGTGACGATATTATAATTATCATATTATAATTATCATTATCATGAATAACATTTAGTCGGCCTCCAAGATAACTATGCAGGCTAATAACTATACTATTGACATAAAGATTTTTCTTCTAAGCAAACCGCTCGTTTACTCAGTTATTTTTTCAGTTGCACTCGAACTCATTATCTTACGTGCTGTATTTTTACATGCCTAGATTTCCTCTCTCTCTCTTTCTCTCTCTCTCTCTCAATCAGATTATTTATTATCTTGCATTTTCGTTCTTCGCTTTAGCAATCCGTCTATCGTGTACAAAAAAATAATGATAGAGTTACCGATATCGATAACGAGCTAGTCGATCAGGTATTTGCACAATTGCATACAAGGTGAAATGATGGACGATCGGTTTTACGTCAAGTCGCGAATGTTGTGCCGCGAATGACAAGCGTGTCGATTAAGCGTGTTGCGATATTATTTCACTAGAAAATATCCTCGACATTGGCAAATTCAGCCTTCGACGTCATTTCGGCCTTTGCGGAAAGTGAATCTTGGAAACCGAAGGTGTTGCAACGCGCACCGTATATCATTTTAATTCAATTGCCTTATGTTTCAATAATTTAATATTTTTACATCTTTACACACACAACTATGCAACGTATAATGTGCAAATAGAAATTTTCCATTTTTAAATTATTAATTATATTTTCTTTTATATTAAAGAATAACTATTGTCTGTGATTTTTACATTTGGCTTTTCGGTCGCGATTGATTCAAAAGTAGAGAGAGAAAGTGATATCTGATGAATTAAATCTAATCTAATAAATTTAATTTAATTTATATTTCGAATAACTCGAATTAATTTAATGCGGCATAACAAGAATCAATGTGTACCAATTTACCAGCGTATCGCTGTCATCCGCGGAACCCTCCACGGGATCATTACCAAGGGCCCTCGATCTCGAGCCGATTGGTCCGGGAAAGACTATATGATCGGGATTGCCATGATACTGAGTGCTAACTTGTCCCACGACGAATCCGCCGCAAACGATCGCGAGAATGAATATTCTCACGCCGAAATAAAACAGCTGATTGTCAAACGATGCGTCGAAATGCAATTGCATTTTTTGTCGTAATTCCGTGGTGATTTTTATCTGTTTCTATACACTCTCTCTTTATACAAGCACACAAAGATTCGCGTTGGTGATATAATGATACAGAGATGTTACGTCGACGATTATTATTACTCGATTGTTATCCGCGATTATACAAGTCTTTTCTACGAGTCGGCTTTTTGTTTCTTTCCACTGAGTTTTCCCGAGTTTCTTTGCGCGATAACCACTTGTTCCGAGCGACACACCTGTGCGTTCCAAGTGCTCGCGCCGCGATCGACTGATGAGACGAACACGTCCCGCGCGTATTTCTTGACTCACGCACACGCGTACGAGCGCGCGGCGCGCATTGTGGGCGCGCTCGCACGAATCGCGGCGGAGATAAGCGGCGTGACTTTTTCGCGTAATACTGATCGGCATTCGCGATGCAAACGTTTATCGCAACGAGATTGCACGAAAAAGTGCGATGTAGAGATAGCGTCCCTTGCATTCCCGGAAAATCCTATTCTGCGAATTTGTGCTTGCGATCCGAAAAGACGGGCGCGATAAAATAATAAAAAGTTTATTTCGCTAGTCTATTATCCGTTTATTACATTTCGATGTCATACATCATATGTACGTTTATTGTATTTTTTTTTTTGCATGTATTCTTTAAATCTAATTCTTTATATCGTATGTTAGAGTTCTTAAGAGAAGGATACATTCCACACAAGTTGTTTTTGGGCACTCTGTATATTTACCGCGGAATGTGTCTTTTCGTATCAATCTTGTCAAAAAGAATGTTGAGTTTCTTTTTTGTGTTGATAATGTCTTATATATTTAATAGATTAATAGGTATTACAAAAGATTTCAAAGTATCCACACGGAAACAATTATAATTTTTATTATTACACATTAAAACTACGATGTAGAATAATGTAATGCATCAATAAGCAGTTTTTTTTTTTTTTTAACTGAGGGATTGATTTGCGCGCGCGTGTGTGTGAATAAACATACAAGTAGGTGTTTAAATTTGCATATAGAATTGATTTAATCTGAGAGTTAGTTTTCATAACGTTACAGCTCAAGGTAATGTGCGGAAAATCTCAATTGTCTAATAATGCAGTCACTCACATAAAGTATAAGTGGAGCAGAAAATTGCAAAATAATTTACATGATTTATTAATAGTTCTTGACAAAATAAAATTAGAGAGAGTGAGATAGAGAGAAGGAGAAAGAGAGAGAGAGAGAGAATTAATATCAACGAAATTATAAATTAATCAGGTTATTAGCGTTATTATCCACAGGTTAGGTAGTATGCTCGTAAGATAATCAAAGATGATTTACTTACCAAATGATTACTTGACTAAATAACTTACTTACTTTCGTACAGATAGCGCTGGCAGTCATATTTTTATTTATATTGTTATTTATATTTATATATTATATATATATATACAGGGTGTCCGGTAAAGATTGTGCCAACGCTCTATCTCGTAAAGTAAGCAA